ATTTTTATTTCTGCAGGAAAGATTGTGGGGTCTTCAGATTGCTGAGCATGAAACTCTAGAGTTGCCTTTGGTCCTGTGTGCTTATTTTATCATAGTGGGTATACTATGATTAAAGGATTAATCAACTGTCATTGAACATTTAATATCATTCATAGAGCCTGTGACACCTTCAGGTTTCCATCACCCCTCTTCATTTTCCTTAAAATTCTCCAATATTGGAAAGAACGGTATCTTCTCATGTCATGTTACTATTTTACTGTGTAGATGGTCTTTAACATTCACTAGAAGTTTTGGTGGATGGTGAAACAGTAGGATTCTCCCACTACCTGAAATGTTAGTGTGTGATTTGATAGTATCCACCTGTAGCCCAAGCACTTGGGAGGCTGAGGCAGGAGGATTCCCTAAGTCCAGGACCAGCCTGGGCAGCATAGTAACACGGTAATAAGACCAGTCTGAAACGGGGCAGGAGGGGCCGCGGGGCAAACGCTTTGAGGCTCTGGAATCGCTTCAGATTCTCCAGCGCCTTTTGTCATTGTGTCTTTCCAGTTCACTTTCAGCTCTTTGATGAGCCTGGATTGTTCTCTTTGTTAATTCAGAAGCCTACAGATGATGAAAAGATCACACATTTGGCAGGTCACACCTAAAACACTTTCCAAATTAAAAAAAAAAAAATTGGACCTGAGAGTCTAGTCTAAAAGTAGAGCTAGTGGACAACACAAACTCATACTTGGGAAGAGGACTGAGTGTGGAGTCAGATGTTTGACTTGGTCACTAAATAGTTAAGCACATGGCCTCAAGATGTCAGGAACAGGTAAGATAAAGCCAATATATTGAAAGTACTATCCCAAATTATTTGTCAAAAATATTTGTCTTTTTAATGACATAGGACCTAAAGATACACACTTCTGTCAACAGGGTGTGCTAGTCATCATGTGTAAACATGGATAAAAATGTACTTTCTGTTTGATTAGGAATGTGCACATCCTTTGGTGGATGTGGGTAACAGATGTCTTTTGGGTAACAGATGTCTTGGCTTTTATAGACTAATTGGCAAAGAGGGAGAAAAAGGGAGATAATTAAAGGGGTGGGAAGAGACAGGAGAAAAGTGCAGTCTTCGTGTTGGGGAAAGATCTAATAGACCTCCTTAGTATGGGTAATTGCCTCTCTCTTCACCCTCATTTACTGTCTTATACCATATGACTTAAGGGGAAGTATAAGATAAAGAACCACAAGGAAGGCCTGCTATCTGCTAACAATCAGCATTATCTTGCCATGGAGTATTCTAAAACAACTGACTCATTTCACATCAGGTTTTAAAAAACAAAGTAGGAAAGCATAAATCAAATCAATAATGACAACTTCCATTTTAATTGGCAGCTTATGAATCTGTGCTGAGGATGGTTGGTGTAAATATTCTCTAATTATACAAATGCAACCACTGAGTGGACGGGTGAGAAGCGAAAGATGAGAGATAGAATATGGTATGTGTTACTTTTACATTTTAGGTCTCGTTTAGTTTGCTGGATGCTCCTTGTCTGTTCAGTAGTCCGCCCATTGACCCAGAGTAAGTGGAGCTATTGAACAGATGTTTGAGCCCATCACCATTAACAAATCCTCAATTTTGTCTGTGTTTTCTATCCTGTAAGGTTTAAGGTGAAGTGGTGTTTTCTATGTCTTACTAAAGTCTAGCTTATCCTGGTTTGTGCTAAAATAATACTTTAAACTGAAGGAAATTCTATAGTTTGTTAAGAAACCAGTGGAAATGGCAAATCACTCTGTGATAAGAAATACTATCTAACCGTTTTTAATGAAGAGCCAGTCAGTGCTTTGAAGAGAGATATAGGGGATGTGGGTGGGAGGTCCTCAGAGGGTTACTTACTGTAGAATCTAGATACACTGCAAAGGCAGATTATTTGTTCTAGCTGCAAGGTGCATGGTACTGTGTTTTGTTTGACCACCTGTCCTGTCAGTAGGCTGGTAGATAGAATTTGCCTAAAAATATCCACTCTGCCTTAAATTTCATTGAAATAATACAGATCAAAATTTCAGATATCAGTAATAATGACTAACTTATTTCTGTTATATTAACGTTGTATTTTATTTAGCCTCTAGAAACTAGTGGGGTGACCAGATTAGTTCTTAACACCATGGCAGCTTCGGTGGGATAGAAACAAGATCACTTGTGTAGTCTAGAGACTGGTACATTCAGTCAATTACTTGATTTTTTATGCCTCATTTCATATCTGTAAAATGAAGGTAACTGGCAATCAAGTTCCCCTGGGAATTGGACACCATGATAAATGCATGTGAGATCAGCATGTGCTTAAATGTTGAGTGGTTGATGGCTGTTTTCATTCAGTGGGTCCATACATACCTTAGTTGGTTTCCTCGACTTCCTGGCTTCGCTCCTTCTGGAAACAAAAAAATTAAGATAAAAAAAATCCATTTATTTTTATTTTATATGTATGGTTCTTTTTCTTGCATATATGTCTGGGCACCATGTGCATGCAGTGCCTGGGAAGGCCAGAAAAGAGTGATGGATACATTGGAACTGGAGCTACACATAATCATTTGGGTGGTGGGAGGCAAATCCAGGTCCTGTGCAAGGGAGCCAAGCGTTCTTAGCTGCTGAGACAGCTCTCCAGCCCAGAGAATTTAACATTCTGATGACCTTCGTGACACAGGGTTTGAGATAGTGTGTCAAAGAGCTAGTCTACCCACTTTCAGCCCCTTACATATGAGCGTATGGACCAGCCATAGAGCGGCAAGTGTTTCTCATGCTTTATCATATCAGCTGTCCATGAACTGCTAATGTAGAGTCACCATATCTGTCAAATGCAGGTAGTGCTCTACAGGGATGTCAACATTTCTGGGCTCAGCGCCCTTACTTTGGTTCACTTGTAGAGGACACTGTGCCTCCCCAGCGTCAGCCAGGAAGTGAGGGACAAAGCCAAGCCAGAGGTCCTCCTTTCCTGTATCTACTGGCTGTGGTAAAAGTTAAGAAATGCATCAAAGCTTATCAAAACAGTACAGATCAACCTGAGTTGTTATTCCTTCACTGCTAACTTTCTTCTGTTACATTAGATTTATAGTCTATTCCCAGTTGCTAAAAACTAGTGGGATGAGAGAAAAGCCTATCCTGGACCTTGAAAAGCATGAGGATACCCAGTCCCACTGGCAGAGCAGAGAGACACACATTTGTCAGGCCCTTTAAATGGCTGTTGCCTCCTGCTTCCTGCAGCTATTCTTGCAGGGCTCATGGAGGACTGTTGATGGTTTCTGTAAGAAAACTAGTTTTACTCTCTTGAATGTTAGGAGCGGTGGTTACTAATGCTTGTGTCATACTTCCTATGTGTCAGAAAGAAGCACAAAAGATTGATATGATTAATTTACTCTCCACAGCAACACGATGAGGCAGTATGTTGCCACTGTAGTTATCACCTTTCAGATGAGGCCCAGAGGGACTAGGTAATGTCCAAGATGACAAAGCTTGTGCGATCAGGTGCTGAAGCCACTTGACAGGTTGGGAAATGCTGTGATTCCACAGTCAGAGGCACCCGGTTAATGACTGCTCTTTGTAGGATTTCTCTTTTATGTAAGGGACCTGACTTAATATGCTTTTGTGGGTGCTGAAGTTTTTGACAGAGTCTCACTAGGTAGCCCTGGCTGGCCTGGAACTTGCGGAGGTCCATCTGCCTCTGCCTCCTGAGTGCTGGGATTAAAGGTGTGCGCCACCTTAACACGTGTTTTAGTCTCTTTGGTTGTAAGCCTTAGCCTTTCATGGCTGCACCGTCTCTCCAGCCTCCAGAAATTAACACATTTCTTAATCACTAGGTTTTGTACACCTGGCTGTCTGGAATCTCAGCCAACTTAGAGTATGTGATTCTCCTACAGCTTATTACTATTGATAAAAAGAGTATTTATTCATGATTACTCACTTATAAATTGAATATTTTGTTAGTATAAAATTAGGTCTAGTTTTAGCAATTAGAAATTTAAGGACTAATTTTATTAACTGATAATATAGCAAAGTTTTGGATATTAAGATAATTGGGGGTAGTTATCATTTAACAAAATATTCATTTTTTGAAACATTTAAAGTTACAATAGAAACATTTAGAATTGCAATATTTAGAAATGGTAAGTTGAAATGTAAATATGAAAAAATTACAACTTCTGGACTCTATACTGACTTCATATCAAGACAGAAATATCAAATCTTTTGGACACATTTGTGAGGGTGTGAGTGTGAGTGGTAATGGGGATGTTTAAGATGATATATTAATAAACATTAATTTATCAACATCAAAGTTTTAAAAGTTTTATTGTCATCATTATAATAAACTCTATTATCAATGTACTTTATGTTGTGGAATAGGGGTGCCCATTAAAAATCTACATCTGAAGGTTAAAATCTACATTCAAATGGCTGTCATTCTAAGATATATTCCTTAGTGGAAGGGGAATAGAATGCTTTATCAGTGCCTTCAAGGTGCCTACAACAATAGCAACCTTTAGGTGTCCACTAGTTTTAGACCTATGTGTTTCTATAATTCGTTTTGTGTTCTGCACATGCATTTAAAGGGTTGGAAAAATGTAAATGAATATAGCGTGCTGGCTTGTTGGGTTGCAGTTGCCCCTGCCTTGAATCATTGTTCTAGAAGCTGTGCCAGCCAGCTCCTTGTTGCTGAGCTACTGTTTCCTAGCATTTCCTAGGCACTATCGATTTAGGAGTAAACCGATTGAGCTTGAAAAGGATTTAGAGTGTGGACTAGGAAAACATAGTAACTATAGGAACCACTGTCTAAATTATAATAACCATACAGAGGATAACTGATTGAGTAGCCTGTTTAATGAAGCACAGGATGGAGAGGGTGTCTTCATCAGATTTTAAAACCTGTCTTCGAGTTATGTTAAGATTGAATTTCTGTTCTCAAGTACCACAAAGTAAATGCATGATGTCTTCTACATTTTAAAGCTTCTTGCCTTACTTTTTCCAGGACTGAAGTGTGTGTGTCTTTTGTGTGATTCTTCCAACTTTACCTGCCAAACTGAAGGAGCATGTTGGGCCTCTGTCATGTTGACCAATGGGAAAGAGCAGGTGATCAAATCCTGCGTGTCCCTTCCGGAATTAAATGCTCAAGTCTTCTGCCACAGTTCCAACAACGTGACCAAAACTGAATGTTGCTTCACAGACTTCTGCAACAACATCACGCTGCATCTTCCAACAGGTAAGGGGCTGCATAGCCCCACTCACTCCTAATTATGTTTTACTCTTGGAAGACGATAAGCATGGCAGAAACCAAACCATCTAATGTTTCTTGAGATGAAAATGTGTGTTTTACGGTTCTTCTTATTTTTGGTGGGCGAAATTCTCTAGAGTCTAGCTGAGGTTGATGCTTTAATTTTTGAATTGCACATCACTGTCAGAACATTGACAATAATGTCACAATCTTGAGGAAATTTGACCACATGAATCACAATTTTTTGACATTAATTAATGGACCTCAAGTAAAATGTCAATTTTTGTGAATTCTTTTTATCAAAGAAAAGAAAAGAAAAGAAAGGATATTTAACCTTCAGTGATAGAAATAGATCATCAGCCTACCCTAGGAGATGGGAAGGGACAAGAGAATGTTCTGGAATGATGGAAACAGTCATATGTGCATCAAGTGTCATCAAACTGAAGGGTGTGTGCTTTATCATGTTAAAATCATGCCTCCCTAATACTGATTTTTAAAAAATGAAATCTGGTTCCTGGATGAGTTTGAGGGTACCACAGAATACACAATTGATCTGGGAGGAATCTGCATTCTACCAACCAAGATCCTTTGATTGCTCAGCTGCATAAGTAGCATCTTGTCCTGAAGAGATGTTGTTCAAGCCCTGTCCTGTATTCATGCTCACTGGCAGAGCATGGCCTTCAAAAAAGCCACTGCCGCAGCCAATGGGACTTTCCCCTTCATTCCCATGCACCTTTTGTATCTTGTCACAGATAGAACCAACAATCAATAGAAAGCTTTACTTTAGCATGCCTCTGGTTCTCACGTAAACTAGGGAAGGAAACTCCCACGGCGTTTCACATCATCACCAAGTCCAGGAGAGCTGTGTAGAAGACAGAGGGAGGAAGTGTGATCTAAACCAACATTGCAGTTGGCTTTAGGACATGAAACGGGCTGACCATAACTTGTCAGGTTGAACCATGGGAAGTAATACTTAGAACAGCACTTCCTAAAGGATGGAATGGGTACCACGGTGGTACTTGAAAGAATTTTGAGAATTTTTAGGTGACAATTGAAGTGATAAACACAACATTGGACTTCAAAAGAACAGTTGTAGGTCTGTACTGAAAAATCACAATGAACTTTGTTAGTGTGTGTAACTCACTTATCTTGATAAGAAATTCTAAATACTTCTAAAACAAATGTTATTAAATAATATGAATTATGTAATTAGATTTCCTAATTCTCTTGCTTTTTTTCCAGATGTCTTATTTCATGTTACTATATCTTTAACATTTAGGGTTTTGTTTTTCAAGACAGGGCTTCTCTGTATAGCCCTGACTGGCTGTTCTGGAACTTGATCTGTAGACAAGCCTGGCCTCGAACTCACAGAGATCCTCCTGCTTCTGTCTCCCCAGTGCTGGGATTAAAGGTGTGCACCACCACTGTCCTTATAGTTTTTATATTTAGGGTATGTTCAGTTTCAATTTGTGTAAAATGACACAGCCCATAACGGCAAGGCAAAGGCATAATTTTATTTTTTTCCCATGTGGGTAGAAAGTTGTTTTAACATTCCGCATCAGTTGTTGAAAGCTCTGACCTTGGGGCTGGAGAGATGGCTCTCTGGTTAAGAGCATTGGCTGCTCTTCCCAAAGACGCAGGTTTGATTCCCAGCATCCACACAGCAGCCTATAGCCCTCTGTAACTCCAGTCCGAAGGGATCTTCTGCCCATGTTTGGCTTCTGTGGGTACTGCACGTACTTGGTGCACAGATATACACAAAGGCAAAACATGTCTATGCATAAAATAAATATAAATAAATCTTTAAAAAAATAAAAGCCCTGGCATTTCCATGTAGAGTTATCTTGTTACTTTAGTTGAAAGTAAGGTAGATCTATGTGTGTATGTGTATATATGTTTAAATGGGTACATTTGTGGATGCTTTGGGCTATATAGTTTTTCTGTGCCTTAAGCTACTACTGAACTGTCTTGATTAAACTACAGGTGTTTAAAAAATATTGAAATTGGGATGTATGACCCTTCTAGCTTGTTTTAAAAAGAGCTTATTTGAGCATTATAAGTAATTTTAATTTTCATTTAAATTTAGCCAGTTTGATTATTTCTGCAAAGCATACTCAGAGATTTTGATGAACTGAACTGGATATATAGGATAATCTGGAGAGAATTATCATGTTAACAAAATTGATCAATGAACATAGTATAATTCCCTATTTATTTCATTCTGTAATTACTCTTAGTTTTGTTTGTAGTTGTCAGGGAACACATCTTAGGCATAGTTCATTGAGTTTACTAAACTTCTCAATGTGATTGTGAATGACACTTTTAGTATCTCAGTTTGGAAATGCTAATTTATCCTATGTTGAAAAGCTCACTTGTTAATTGATCTCACATCACGATAGTGAAGATAATATATTGGTTCTAGTGTTCTTTTGCTTTGCTTTGCTTTTTTTTTTTTCCCGGAAGTTTCTTTGGACTTTTCCATTATTTGTGAATATAGTCATTGTAAAAGTCTCCGTTCTGATCTGTGTTCATTTTGTTTCTCTTTCTTGTGTTTTTGCATAACTAGGGATGTCTAGGGTGCTGGTTATTGGAGGCCGTGGAAGCAAAGGCTCTTGCTGTCCCAGGGAAAGTGCTTGGTCCCTTATTGCCTTTTATTTCTTTGTTTATGTTTCTGTTTTGAGACAGAGCTTGCTTGGCATTCACTATGTAGCTCAGGCTGCTCTTAAATTCATGGCTATCTTCTTGTCTCCAGTAAGTACTAGGATTTATAGAACTGTGTCTACCACTCCTGACCATCAGTCCTTTTGCCATCAATTATTCCATTAACTGTAGGTTCTGGGTGCTCTGTATTAATTGGGAGAAATGTCTTTTATTTTTAATTTGTTGAAATTTGTTTTTAGTCCTAACTGGATATTCATTTTTTCAAACATTTTATGGCTTTTATTAAGATTATCCTATAACAGTGGTTGTATTAATTAGATGCCAAACATTTATCCATAGAAGAGGAAATATGTGTTTTGTAGCCAATAACTAATATGTCTATAAGAAATGCTATGTATGTCATTGAATTCAAACATCCTTATTTACACTAAGAATTTGTATCATTTAGTGACATTGTATGGTAAATGGGCACTCAATTGAATAGGGCTACATACAGGACATGTGGTCTCCTTGTGCAGAGTTGTTCTTGAGGGGGGCTAGGAATAGCTCTTAGTTTTGCGTGGAACAGTAGCTATATGGAGGAAGATTTGAAACTTCTTAGCTAAGCACAGACCATGACAACAATGACAGTATTTTCATGTCATCAGAGAGTGTGGTCGGTGACCTTGCTCTGCCTGGTATGGATCTGTCAGTTATAAACGTGATCATGCATATATTGGGTTATAGAAAAGTGCTCTAAAGAATGGGGAGATATTTCTACAGTACTTGACAGTGAGCTCCGTGTTCATCACCCAAACCAAGGAAAGAAAACCAAGAGTTAACCAGGAGCAGTTATATAGATGGGAAACTTCCTCTCAGGATTCTAAGAGGACCCTTGTCCCTCCCATGCTCTCTGTCTTTCTCTTTCTTCCTTTCTTCCTTCCTTCCTTTCTTCCTTCCTTCCTTCCTTCCTTTCTTCCTTCCTTCCTTCCTTCCTTCCTTCCTTCCTTCCTTCCTTTCTTCCTTCCTTCCTTCCTTCCTTTCTTCCTTCCTTCCTTCTTTCCTCCCTCCCTCCCTCCCTCTCTCTCTTTCTTTTTTTAAAAAGACTTATTTAATATGTATACAGTGTTTTGCTTGCATGTATGCCTGCAGGCCAGAAGAGGGCACAAGATCTTGTTACAGATGATTGTGAGTCACCATGTGATTGCTGGGAATTGAACTCAGGATCTCTGGAAGAGCAGCCAGTGCTCTTAACTGCTTAGCCATCTCTCCAGTCCCTCTCTCACCCCTCTCCCTGCCTTTCATCCATCATCCTCCAGGCCATTTGTAGATAACTGATTTGATGAAGGACCAAGTCTCTACCTGCTTCAGGTGGCCCTCTTCTTCTCTTAGATCTTGTAGTTATGGCCTCTTGGTTTGTTTCTTTGGGAAAAAATTTCTACCTTGAATAAAGCTTGTGCCTCCTCCACCCAGTCTGGTCACAGCTGTGGCCCTAGTAAGGCACAGCTGGACAACTGCTGGCCCTTACTCCTTCTTCCTTCCTCTAAGTGCTTTGAAATGTTTGACGCCAATTTCTAACAGCTTTCCTATGGGTTCCTATTGTGACACAGAGAGTCATTTTGTCTCATTTCTTTTTTCACCTCATGGGGACAGAGAACAAGAATTTTACAAAACAAATCTTTAAAATGTGTAAGGTGCTTCAATCGTTGCTATTTCCTGAAAAAAAAAAAAAGTGCTGGTTGGAGCCCACTGATAGGCTTAGTCACAGTTTAAGAAACACTATTTAAACTGATATTTAAAGGTTAGAATTTGTAAATGGATCAAGGGCATTTATTATTTCAATTCACTAGTATAAAAAACTATTCAAAATGTTAGTTACTATTTTAATTTCACACATTTTCCTTTTAAATGGCCTAAAATTGATTAGATTTAAGACAAATTAATTCATATCACTGAGACTGAAATTTAATTTAGATCATATTTAAATTGAATCATTTTCTCTTAAAACATACCTTCTGGTTTAATTTTACACATGGGTATACTTTTCAGGAGTTGGTAGTTTTATTTGATAGAAGTAAGCTTATATTTTGGTAGAAATATAATACTAGAAAATTTTCTCTCTTCCCTGAAGATTATCAAAACAGATATTGTTGAGACATCACTGAAGAAATAAATAATTTTCCAAGCTCAATGTGAGCACACGTACAGGCTTTTTCCTCCAAAATTTGGAAAGGAAACTTTTACAAACAGAAAACATGCTAGTCCCACAAATCAAATGTGGTCTCATGTCTGAAATTTAATATAGAGTATACAAGTGAATTAAACAAGAGAATTAGGCATGTTTTACG